CCACATTGGAACAAATCATGCCATGTCAGCGGTCATTAGTTCAGTCGGCCTATCAAATGACACCGTCAAAGTTTTGGATCTTTTTGTGTATTTTTCAAAATTTGTTTATTGTCAAAATGTGTATAGTTATTGCTATACAAGTGTGTTAAGCATAAAATAACTATACATTTTGACTATCAAGAAGTTAACTTAGTGATAATGTAAAATTAAAACATTCGCCAAATTTTAGATTCGAATATTTGAAGCCAATAATCAAAGAAAAATAATACGGTTTTGAAACGTACTAGTACTAGGAATACCATTTTCCGTCGGTGTGCTACGGAGGTATCTACCGCAAAATACCATCTTTGCATACATGTATAGTGTATCATATACCTCTGGTCGCTGATTGGTCTGGAGGTAGGAGCCAGCCACTAGGGATGGCAACAAAACCTGAACCCACGGGTACTCACCCGACCCAACTCGGTCAACGCGGGTAAAATCCGTGTTGACGGGTTTTGGGTCGGGTTTGAATTTAAATCCGTTCACTATTCATTGGGTTGAGTTGGGTTTGGGTTTAGGTAAACCCGACCCACGGGTACCCGCTCACACCCATATAATTAATTTTCTCGGTATATTTAATATTTTAAACAACTTGTCTTATTTATGTGTGTGAAGACATGTCTAATTTTTTCTTTTTAATTGTGTAGAATGAAGTTGGTGTTATCGAGTAGAGAGTGAAGAAACTTAATTGAAAGGAAGAAGCTTTCAATTAATCATGTTATTTATGGATAATTTGTGATTTGCTTCAATTTTCTTGAGTTTTCTAGATTGGTGTTGAACAATTTGTATAGTTAATTTGTGATTTGCTTGAATTTTCTAGAATGATGTTTTATATATGGATAATTTGTATTGAGAGATTGGTATTTGACTTTAATTTTGATAGGAACTTGTTATTGTAAATTTTTTACGACAAAAACCCGTGGGTACCCATGAACCCGCGGATACCCAGCGGGTTGGGTTGGGTTTGAGTTTTTCAAACCCAGTGGATTTTACCCCGGGTTTTTTTCACGGATAAACCCAAGAATTTGGGTTTGGGTTTGGCAAAACCCGACCCATTGCCATCCCTACCAACCACAGAGCCAGACTGCCTCTTCTCAATGGAAAGAGATAACAAAGAAAGCCCAGTCAGTCATGCGTTCTATTGGCCCATTTATTTCATAATTAACTAGGCCCATTTTTGTTCAATATCCTCTGTTTAAGACTAACTCCAACCCAAAAGGTTAAATTTAGCCTCTCAAGCTCTCAAATGTGCATTTTTACCTTCCAAAAACACTTTTTTGCTCCAACTCTAAACCTTCTAAATTTGCCTTCCCAACTAGGGATGGCAATGGGTCGGGTTGGGGCGGGTTTTGTCAAACCCAAACCCATGGGTTTATCCGCCAAAAAAACCCGGGGTAAAACCCGTTGGGTTTGAAAAACTCAAACCCAACCCAACCCGCTGGGTACCCGTGGGTTTTTCTAGTAAAAAATTTACAATAACAAGTTTCTTTCAAAATAAAAGTTTAACATCAATTTTCTCATACAAATTAATCATACAAAAAACACCAATCTAGAGCATACAAGCAAACCGCAAATGATCAATACAAATTGTTCAAAATTAAAGATAAACATCTATAAACAATAAGATTAATTGAAAGCTTCTTCCTCGTCAACTAAGTTTCTTCACTCTTCACTTCATAATATCAACTTCTAACTAAACAATTAGAAAGAACAAATTATACATGTCTCCACAAACATAAAGAATATTAGTTGTTTAAGGAAGATATATTATGTAGAATATTAAATATACCGGGAAAGTAATTATGTGTGTGGGCGGGTACCCATAGGGCGGATTTACCTAAACCCAAACCCGACCCGGTGAATAGTGTAGCGGGTTTAAACCCGAACCCGGCCCAAAACCCGTCAACACGGGTTTTACCCGCGTTGACCGGGTTGGGCCGGGTGGATACCCGTGGGTTCGGGTTTTGTTGCCATCCCTATTCCCAACTCATAACTAACCAATCAAAAATTAAGAAAGTTAAAAAAAAAATGATGTTGGAAAGTGGAGTGCCCCAGCGTGTGGGCATGGGTTCCATGGTTGGTCCCCACCTTCTCCTTGCATTTTTCCATATCTATCCATCCCAAACCCACTTCTCCAATTTTGCAAGCCAAATAATTGGTGGGTTGGAGATGAAAAAAAGCCAAATACCTCCCTTTCTCCAAATTTGCATGCTTGGGTTGGAGATAGTCTAAGGTTCAGCACTCTAGTTATAGTTCATTTGATATTATAACTTTTTTTTTACACCTAGGCCCTAGATATTTCATTTGATATTATAACAGTCATAGTTTTTAATTTTTATCACTTTATATGGTTTGAATTAGTTGAACTTACTGGTTGGTTACAAATCCCAAAGGAAAATAGTACGCTTAAATATTTACATTTATTTCAATCCCAACCAAAACCCTCACATTTGGATAAAGAAATATTATATTTGACCAACTTCATATTTTTCCCATAAAGGGGACGTAACACACAAAAATTCGAGGTTTTCTAAGTTCCTAAGAACATCCAAGAAACTCATAGGACTAGACAATTCAGACATAGAGTCTTATCGATGAACATTAATAAGATTTTCTCGTAACACTAAAAGTCAAATCCGAAACCATCACCATATCAGTTTCCATATCTTATCGAGTGACCACTGACCAGCTACAGCTAATTTGACTCGTTTAATATTTAGCCGGTCCGATCCACAACCATTTCCTTGTTGTTGGGTAGTTATCATAAATGGTCGCAAACCTATTCACTTTGTACAAAATGGTCACAAACCTTTAATTTTGCACGTTTTGGTAAAAAAAGTTTGAGTGAATAACAAAAAGGTCAATCCGTCCACTTTCGTCCAAAATTCTGTTAATTTTGCTGAGTCAACATGACACATCATTAAAAATCATAATAAATAATAATATAATCATTCGAATTAATCCAAACAACCTTAACCGATTCTCTAACTCTGTAACCACTAACCACCCGCCCGTACGCCCGAACCTTATCCTCACACGCCCGAACCCAACTCTCCAATGTCAAGCACCTAAACGTGCAACGGTGGTTCTCCGTCACCGGCGGATGACTTTACAAGTCCATCGATTGGATCTTCGCCGACAGAGGGTGTTTCTTCGTGTCCAGTGGATGGTTCTCCATCAGTTGATCCTTACCCAGCTTTTTGTTGGTATCGCCGCCTCTAATAGCTTCAAGAATAGGCGAACGACGCTGCTCCTCCATCCCTCTGCCCGGTATTGTCGCCTCCGGTAGCTTCAAGAACAGGCGCTTCGGATCTTGGTGCTCATTACTCTGATTCACAATTGGCCGTTGTACTTCTCTTTCCAACGTATCCGCCGCCGGCATAGATCCTTCTACGCTGATCGATCCCCGGCGCGCACAAACGGAGACCGAATCTTGTGGCTTCTCGAATTCTTCCCGTTGCTCATTATTGCAGTTTCCAATTGGCTGGTCCACTACTCCTTAATTCACAGAGAAAAGACGGAAACCAAATCCCAGAACACTAAACAAAGGGAAGGGCAATTGAATCGTCTTCTTGAATCCCAGATCGACTAGCTAGCTAGGTTGCCCCTTTCTCCAAGTTGGCCCTCCAGTCCTGAGACTGAGTCCTGATCCTGATGGGAGAATTTATTGCTCCACAAAAAACACTTTGCTTTGGGAGGGGGGACCAAAGTTTAGATGATTCAATGAACACCACATGACCTCTGTGAATCCACTGCAGATCTGAGTGTCCCTTTGCCCCAAGGGGTACCCCGTTATTGGAGAGGCAAAGTGATGAAAACTCGGTAGAAAAGGACGTACAATACCCTACGCCATGCAATATATATACCAACTAGCTTTAGCTAGATATATAGATCATGGCCTTGGGGAAAAGGGTAGTGGTGGTGGGTTCATTCCTTTGGAATCCCTTCTTCTCCTTCTCCTTCTTCTCAAATACTTGATGACAATAGAGAAACAATGGAATGTGAACAGTCTCTGGAAATGTCCCAACAGAAAGGACTGACTGACCTTTGCAGAGGGTAGGGTACCCCCCAAGAACCATCCCAAATGGACAAAAGAATGATGACCTTATTATGATGTTGGTAAATCAACGGTGTAAAGAGTTTCATTCGGTCTCGATCGCCAAGTAAAATTGCGGAATTGACACGAAATTTATGTCTCGAAGTTTGGGATTATTGGTCTAGTTCAATTTTAGCTGGACAAGGATCTCAAACTTGATAACATCTAATGTTAAACCGTTAACTACATTAAGTAAGAGGAGCATGTACTGATCGTAGTGGTGCAGTGTCATTTTCAGCGCATGAATCAATAACTTGGATGAAGCTAAAAGAGTTCTTCCACGGGTTCATCTCATATTATCAACAACAAAAAAATTAATTCAACTTATTAAATTATTATGCAACAGGCGAATAATTCATGTATCTTATAATCTTAACCAATTCGGATATAAATAATTAATTATTGTTGGAAGCTGTGGGACAAAATTACAGGAGAAAATTAAAACGAAAATTATGATAACGATATCTCGAGAGGCACAATTGGCGTCAGTTGCTAGAAGAAAGAAAGTCTGTCTACTCCCTGGTTTGACCCTTCCAAGGGGCAAGAATTCAGAAAGTCTTTGGCACACCAGCTAGCAAAACCTGACACTTCTTCCACCAGACCAAGACCCAAGATTTCACGGCTAGCTAGCTAGCTACTTGCATTTAGGATGACATTCCTTGTCACCCAGGGCAAGATTACTAATGGCTATTGATCATCTACAAAGACGACTTCTCTCTCGAGTTATGGACAATTGTGAGAGAGATAGAATAGAACCAACCCCTTAAATAGTGACAAAACTGGTGGCAAAAGATAGAAAGCGACCCTTCTTTGGAAGAAAGAAACCAACAGATGAGACGAATCAAGTACATGAAACCCACTCACTCACTCACTCACGAGATACAAGAAGGAAAATTGGGGTAAACTATAAATTTCCAAAAATAAAAAGAAACAAGAAAATCCAACTCTGTGGCCTTCCAAAATTTCACAAGATAATATGATATCCTACTCTCATTATTATAACATCATTTTCTTCCTCCTCTTCTACACTTCCCATTCCCCTCCCCTCTTTCAAAACTGTCCCCATTTCCTGTCTTTCCAAACAGTTCTTTTCTTCCTTTTCTTTTCCTGTACTGTGCCAATGGAAAGTGCTGCTGCAACAAGGCCACTTGGCAGCAGCAACCACACTTTTAGAAACCCACACAACAATTCCCATTCTGCTGCTTCTTCTTCCTCTTCTCGCCACCACCATGGCAGCCTTTCACCAACTTCGGTTCTGGTCATTGCAGTCTCAGCCATCTCTGTGGTGGTGGTTCTGCTTGTGGTGGTAGCCATTGTCCTGCTGAGGAAGCTGAGAGCTGATCATGTCAGCAGAGCAGCCAGCTTTAAGGAAAGCAATGGGAGCATCAGCAGCAGCATTAATCATGTCGTCGTTCATCGCAATGGCAGTCATCGATTCGTGCCTCGTAGTTCCTCCACCGCCACCACCATCAACTTCAACTCAAGCCCTGGTGAGAGAGTCTATTCCAAAAATGTTTTACAAGTTTTGCCAGAATTGAGGCAGACCGAATCAATGTGTATGATTCCATCTGAGAATGGATATGATATGCAAGATTGAACCATAACTGTTCTATTTTCATACGATTTTACTTGAATTTGAGAGTTTGAGTCTTTTGATGATTCATGTCTAATCGATATTGAAAATGAATATGATCTTGTTAATCGGGTTTTTGACTCAAAGCCAACTGCAAAATTCTTACAAATTTTGGAAAACTGGAGTAGAATGTCTGATTGATGCTAGAAGTGGATAATGGTGCTGTTGAGTTTCTAACACCAAATGTTTGGATTGCTGGCTTAAATCTTATTTATCTTCTCATGGTTATAAGATGTGGGAGGTGGATGTCTGAGTACAAGCAACATGGGACATAAAACTCCAACCAGGCACAGGAGAGGAGTGGTTCAAGTGTTCACATACAGAGAGCTCGAGACTGCAACAGGCAACTTCAATGCAGGAAATGTGATTGGGAATGGTGGATATGGCGTTGTGTACAGAGGGATTCTCAGCGATGGGACGGTGGCTGCAATTAAGATGCTCCATAGAGAAGGGAAGCATAGTGAACGTGCCTTCAGGATAGAGGCAAGTGGCCCTTCCATTTATTGCTGCACCATCCCTCCCTTCAATTATTTCTACGACTCAAACAAAAACGACATCGACCCTCTTCCTTTCTTTTAACCATTGATTGAAAGGGTTCGATTCGGAGATTGAATAGGTAGTCTAAGTACGAACTGATATCGTTGGATCACATGAACTGTGAACCAACATCATCATCCTAGGCAGAATATGTTACAGAGATAAGAGTTAAGTTGGTTCTTGTCAAACGACAAACAGATATCTTTTTGGTTTATTGGCTTTAGCATGTTTGTGAATGAGACAAAAAGCTGAAAGACTTTAGAGCAATAATAATGCTCCGCATGTTTTCTCAGAACATGACAAAAACAGGATTATAATAATAACCACCTAAGAGTTTAGGTATCTGCTGCTAAAAAAGGTCAATGCATTTCTGATTCTGAAGAAGTCAAAACCTAATGATAATTGTTTATTGATGGATCTAAAACACATGGGTTGTGGGAATCTAAAGAAAAAGTCTCCATCTTTTTCTTGCTTTTCTTCAGGTGGATCTGCTGAGCAGGCTTCATTCAACTTACTTGGTTGAGTTACTGGGCTACTGTGCTGATCAGCACCACAGGCTGCTGATATTTGAGTTCATGCCCAATGGAACCCTCCAGCAGCACCTCCATCACAAGCAATATCAGCCGTTGAATTGGGGGACCCGGCTTAGGATAGCCCTCGATTGCGCTAGGGCACTCGAGTTCCTCCATGAACATGCAGTCCCGGCAGTGATCCACCGTGACTTCAAGTGCAGCAACATACTGCTAGATCATAACTTCAGGGCCAAGGTCTCTGATTTCGGGTTGGCCAAGACTGGTTCAGACAAGATCAATGGTCAGATCTCGACCCGGGTTTTGGGGACCACTGGTTACCTTGCACCAGAGTGAGTCCTTACTCCTTTGTATGGTTAAAGCTTATTCGGCAGCACATCACTTTCTCCTTTTCCATTGGGAAATTTTTTGTTATGGGAAGTGAAAGGTCATGGTCAAACTCAGCGTTAACGGTTAAGGCTGTTATAGCACAAGAAATAAAGAACTATCTTTTACTTGGGCATCAAGCTATATCTAAAACATATCTCAGCAACTTTCAGAGAAGGGATAGGAATTAAAACTATTAATGGAAATTTTGCTGATGTACCTTTTTCCCCCCTTTTTTGCTTGTTGGCTTATCAGGTATGCTTCAACTGGTAAACTTACTACCAAATCAGATGTCTACAGCTATGGAGTGGTTCTGTTGCAGCTCTTAACTGGGCGAATACCGGTCGACATCAAGAGGCCTCCAGGAGAGCATGTTCTTGTTTCCTGGGTAGGTGAACTAACGAGCTCAGAAACACCATTAGTTTGGGGCAAAAATTCATATGGTTTGTTCACTATTTTGACAGGCTCTTCCAAGATTGACCAACAGAGAACAGGTGGCAGGAATGGTTGACCCAGCATTGGAAGGACAATACTCAAAGAAGGATTTGGTTCAGGTCAAGCCAACAGCCCTTGTTATGAATCCTTAGGTGTATTGGCAACCAACTTCAGAAGTTGAATTCATAACTGAATTTGTATTTTTACAGGTAGCTGCTATTGCAGCAATGTGTGTGCAACCAGAAGCAGATTATAGGCCCCTAATGACAGATGTTGTGCAGTCACTAATCCCTCTAGTGAAAAACCTATCTTCAGTTTCTTCATCAGCAAGATTCCAGAACCAGATAAGCCCCAGGTATATCAGAATCCCAAAAAGCTGTTAACTTTTTAATTGTATCTCATTTTGCTTCAGTATTTTCAACAATGTCTACCTGCATTTTCCTCACAGGGAAGGATCAATGATGTCTAAGAAGAACGATGTGAGCCACAGAGCACTATTTTTATGCTAATAATAACGAGAGAAAGATCTTCCGGAGAAGAACAAGATGACCTCAAATTCATTCTTTCCTAGCTAATTTTTCCAGAGAGATTTATGCAAGTTCACAAGAGTTCCTGAAGGGCTAATGGGTTGAATTTGGTACATAAAGCTGTAATCTTTTATTCTCTTTCTTCCAATACCAATATAATTTTTTGTAAGAATAACAAAAAGGAAATTTCCTGCTGGGGTTCAAACAGAGAGAGATTGTTCATAGAGCAACTCTACAGGAAAACTGTTGCATTCAACCTTCTTATTTGTTACAAGAAAGAGTTAAAAAAAAAACTCATTTCGTTTCTGTTTTTAGTTTTTTTAACAAAGTGCTTCTCAGCCAATTATACTTAATAGTAAGCATTTTCTTTTGCTTTCTGTTTTGTACCCGTCTTTCTGGATAGCACAAGTAGAAAATCTTCTTACACAGCTAGAGAACTATCTGGACTGAATACATAATTGAATAAAGTCGAAATATAAGTGTCTTTTATCAGAATCTAATAGTTAGACTCTACTTGTTTGGTCATACCCCATCAATAAGTTAATGGCATACACTTTGGCTGGATTAAAATCCAGCATCCTTGAAGCTAATCTACAAATTCACAGACTTACGCACCTCAGCCCTGCTGATAAGCCCAAGTGCAGAACTCACCACTTGGACAGAAGCCATTAGGCTTTGACCTTGAATGATCTTCTGAATTGTAGAATTGCTTGGTTCGTTCACATCAAGAACCAAAGCACTTATTCATCTCAGACTTTCAGATAGTCAGCTTGATTCCCCTTCTTTGGAGTTACTATTTCCACCTTCTGGTCCTGGGGAGCTACTTCGTCCTCCTGCCTTCTTTTCCTGAGATTTACTGTTCTTTTTGCCAAACTTATTAGCATACTTAGCAAATGCAGCAGACAGGGCAGATTTGACTGTCGTTTCGGGTTCTTTCTTCCTACGCTTATTTCTATTTGTATCTTCTTCTCCTTCCTTTTCTACTCCTACTTCTGCAACTTGATCTTCCAAGGAAGGTCCTTGGGTAGGAGTTTCAGGAACAACAGGGTAATTTGAAACTGTGCGCTTGAATGGTTCATGAAAAGTATCATACAGACGTTTCACCTAACAAGAATATGAAAGTTGAAACCTAATGATTAGTTTTATTTCACTAAATCAGCCCACTAAGACATCATGCAATCTTCCATTCCAGATTAAAATGGGGGAAAAGCATCTCAAATACCTTGCGCTCTCCTATGCCAGGACAACGAGCTAGATCCTCCATCGAGGCATCCATTACACTGGAAAGAGACTGGAAATACATGGAACTCGGCCATATAAACATGGATGAAAGAAAAAGCAACCAATTAAATATATCCGGAGATGAAAAAAGTGGGCATACCCCAAATGTCGAGCCAAGGGTGACCACATCAGTCTTGTTAACATGTCTAACAGATGTGAGGGCATGTTGTAACTGAACAAAAAGTATAAGCCAGAGACCAATGCATGTTAAACAAAGAAATTTATTAGGAAAGGTTATGAGGTATACAAGTCCAAAGAGGCCACTCAACACAATCATACCCTTGATGAATAGTCAGTGTCCATCTGACCCTGAATAAGGTCTGCGGGCTTGTTCTCATACATTTTTATGGTCTCTAAGTAACGACCACATTCCTCCAAACTATAATCAACGGAAGAAAAAGAAATTTAGACATTTATACGGCTTCAACACAAACTCCTTAAGTACCAAAACAGCTTGCATAAGTTCACAATGGAGGAAAAGGGTAAATCTTGGGGCTCCTACTATGAGAGGGAAGCTCAAAGCTGCATACCTCCATGCACATAGAAGTGTACAATCATGAAGCAATGCTGTCTTTGTAACTTCAAGTAAAGGCTTAGCAACATCCTCCTGGAAAGTTCAGACAATGAGATAGCTACCAATGAACAATTCTCCTGAATTTTTCAATGTCTGCTTGAGATACTGAATTTTTCAATTTCCGAACAAGATTCCACTCACCACGTCGATATGGCAAAGAACAACACGAAGCTTGTAGTTCTTCTGGAGCTCCCTTATTCGGTAATACAGGTAGTCCGGATGCAATAGATGGTAGCGAAGACTGGATTGGAGAAATGAAGTTATCAATTTCAGCAAAGGGGGTTGAAATACCAATAATGCTAAAACATACAACATAATCTGCAACACTCTTCTCCTTCCTAAAAGATAACGTATCCTCTCCATTTTGAAATCCAGAAAATAATAGCCATCCATCGAGTAAATAATTTTAAGAACAACAGCCTGATAGATATGTATGAGAATGAAACCTCAGGTAGAGAGCACATGAGCTCTGGCCAACCAAGTAGTCACCGACCACATCAGCAAAAGTCCACCTCACATTTCTGATGTGCTTAAGCAAAGGGTTTCCCTTCTGTACAATGAAAAGCTCTCAAATTTATCATTCATGTGATATGGAGGTGATGACCCGAAACAACATATTCAAAATCAGCTGGGGAAACAATGCCTCACCTGCCTGTGACTAACAAGGATCGCATTCCGAGTCTGACTATTCTGTGAACCCGACTGAGAACTTGATGAAGAAGCAGCAGCGCCACTGAACTCAGCAGACACCAACCAATCGTATACCAAAACAGTGAATTCTCAATAAAAAGGTTCGAACTTCCATAAAAAAAAAAAAAAAAAACTGCAACCAAAAGCCGAACCCATAACCGACCCAACAGGCCTTGTCCCAGTTTCCATACCTTCGGGAGACACTATCCGGAAAAGACGAGGAGGAAGGTGATTGCGACGATGGCTGCGGCGGCTGCGGCGGAGGGGAGTAGAATTCGGAATTCTTGATAAAGGAGAAAGCTTGGGAAAAAGACTGGGATGGCTGAAAGAGAGACCCAGAAGAAGGGTTCGATTTTGGCTGCGAGGCTCCGATTACTTCTTCGTAAGAGGGAATCTGAATCAGCACTTTCTGGGTGGTAGCTCTTGACACCGGGTTCCTTTGTTTTGCTCCTTCCTCCTCCGCCTTCTCCTCCATAGTCCGGCCGACGGTCAATTTTTCACCGCGAAATTGGTAGCAGTTGCTATGTAAAGTGTCGGACCGGGTATCCCTTCTGTGTAACGAAAATAGTGGGCCTAATCGATTTGGTTATTGGACCTAACCCAAATAGAAGGATGTGTGATTTGTTAATTCGAATGTTATTTGAATAGAACGCATTTAAATTTGTATCTTGATTTTTTCAATTATTTGAAATGTTTAATTTTGTATGGAACTAAGGGGATATGAAATTTTTTTTTTAATTTTCAAAGAAAACTTACATAACAAAAAAAGAGTTTGTATGACAAAATTTAGGATAAATAGTAAAACACAAACATGACGTTTAGTCAATATTTGTTTCTCTTGAAGTGACATATAAATTATAATACATATATATATCAAACTCTAAGCCTTAAAAATAATATAAACGATTTGATAACAAAAATCAATAGGGAAATAACATTCCTCATCTTTACACTGCCGTAAAAGATGTTTGTCAGCTAACATACTCAAAATTTAGTTGAAGGACAATTTTAGCCCCTCGATAAATATAACTAAATCTCTCTTGTAGTACTCACCCTGCTAATGCATATAACTACATCAATTCATCATAAATATATCATCAAATCTACCATCCAAACAGTGGACTCTTCAAATCCATAGTATAATAAATCCATCATAAATCAAACAATTATTTCCGCTTAGAACCCGCATTTTCAAATCCAATAAAGAAACAAACCGACGACCTACATCACATACGTTTGGAGGATTTAACCACAAGTTATGAAACTGTATCGGATGTTATCCGTGATAGGATTTTTTATACGAAAATAATAATTTAACTTTAACCATGATTCAACCATTTTCGATCACTAAAACTGCCTACTATTTTATATCTGGTATCCAATATTTTTCGATCTACCTGCTCGATACGATAGAATTTCTCCAATATTGGATTTAACATTCAACAAGGCAACAACTAGAAGTCGATTGGTATACAACTGACCGTCGAAACAAACATAACTTCCTTCCTATGGTAGTCGATCGGTCGTTATAATGGCAGCCTGTCCAGTCGAGATTTTAAAACAAGGGTATTGCCTATTTTTTATCCAAACCTTTTTTTGATTCTTTTTTATTAGCCAAACCTATCGAAATACTAAAAATTAGCCAAATGTTAGCTTTCAGATAGCAATTTTGTTAGTAATATTGACTTGGCAACATGATACTCACTTGGAAGAGACACATGCAAGTCAATATTCCTAAATTTTAGTATTTCAACTAGGGAAAGAGTTACAAAATTATTAATAATAACCTAAAAATGGCTAATATTTTGATGCATTACGAAATATTTGGCTAATTAAAAGCATTTTAATAGGTTTTGATAATATAAAAAATGGTTTGGATAAAAAAATAGATAGATAAATTGCAAGTTTGGTCACTGAAATGACTTAAAAAGTTCACGTTTGCCACTAAAATTAATTTATTCCATCCGTAGTCACTTAGATTAGTACAACAGTTCAAGTTTGATCACTCTCCATTAGTCTCCGTTAACTTTATCTGACGTGTCAGTCAACTATGAGAGTTGACCGTTAAATAAGTGATGTGGCAATTAAAAAATAAAAAATAAAAAATCTAATCTTTAACAATTCTACCTCATTATTACAAAATATAAAAAGCTAAATAATAATTGCAATAAAATAATGCAAAATTGAAAACCAAAATCCATTCCCCCGACCCTGCGCATGAAGCCATGAACCTTGTAATAACTGAAAAATGCAAAATTGATGCTCCTTTGATGAGATGGAACATCTCGACCTCGAATAGAGCCCGTAAGTGCCCCTGGCAGAAGAGCTTTGAGGATCATTCTGGTGAGGGAACAAAATCGAACTTTGTTTTGAAGTAGCTCTTGAACAGAGATTAGGGTTGTCAGTTCGGTTGTCGGTTAGCGGCTAACTGGCTGGTCTAACCGTTAACCGCCGGTTAGGGACTAATCGGAAATCGAAAAAAATGGGTGGCGGTCGGTTGTCGGAGGCGTTCAGTGGTTAGACGGTTAGCCGAAAAACCGAGGCCGATTAACCGGCTAACCGACGTCAACCGACCAACGCTAAACGACCCCGTTTTGGCCTAAATAAAACTACCCAACCCCATCCTAAACCCTAGCAGCCCCACTCCACTCCCACACAGGCCACAGCCGCCCCACTCAACTCCCACACAAGCCACAGCCGCAGCACAGCTCTCCACCTCACGCTCACCGTCGTCGTCCCCGCCGCGGCCGCCGCCGTCGTGAAGGAGATCGGCCAGCGGATGGAGAAGTTCGCACGCCTCATGGGGGTGCTCTTCGAGTTCCGTGCCGTCGCCGGACGGCTGGCCG